CGAAGGTCGCTTTGGTGTGAAAAAACTCTTCATAGAAGCCCAAATTATGATATTGAGCCATAAACGGTCATTCTGATCAGGGAAAATTTTTGAATTTTGCCCGATCGTCGCTAGGCAACCATCCGTGAAGGTTCTGATACGGAGTTCTACAGTAGGTGTGCTGACTCGTGAAATGCTAATCGAAATTCTGAAATGCGTTCTCGTTTCGAAAAAACTATTTAAGCGGGCTTATAGAACTAATCAGTGTGCGGCATAACTCCATAATAATTCCGTTACCTCGAGATGCCGGCTCTCGAAAGAAATTCTTCCCGGTAGCCTTCAAAACCTCATTCTGTAAAAAATGACCATTTAAGTAGCATGAATTTTTCTCATTCATTTTCAATTCCTTTAAAATTTCAATTGCATATCATGGAGAACATGCATAAAATATTCATTCTTTTACTCATTCGACAGAAAATTACGTCTTCTTCCAATGTTATACCCGAGGGAAAGGCATAATTCGGCTTTAAAAAAGTTTACAATTCCCTAATAATTTTGAATCCGACCTGTCGCTACACATGCATTCAGGGTTTTCAAACTACAAGTTGTAAACTTCCCGTGTGAGAAAAACCATACACTTATCTACGGTATTAAAAGGAAGTCACATGGCGTTTAAAAACGTAGCAGTGGATATAAGTCGTACTGTAGACTTTACAAGCAACATTGGTAAATGCAGAGACACGAAGTCTTATGAACGGGCATTTCTCAGTATTAAAAGATTTCATAATAAGCAACTTCTTTAGAAACAAATTGTACCCTTTTTTCGAATGTAAAAGTGGAAGAAGACGTATTTTGCTACCGAATGAGTGAGAGAATGAATGTTTTATGCATGTTCTCCATAAGGTATAATTAAATTTTTAAAGGCATCGAAAATCAACGGAAAAACTCAGGCTACTTAAGTAGCTATTCTTGCAGGGTGTGATTTTTGCGTGCCGCCGAAAATAAGTTGGTTCGAACGCCGGCATCTCGAATTATTATGGAATTATGCTGTTAGATGATTAATTTTAAAACCTGCCTAAGTAACCCTTTTGAAACGACAACGCATTTCAGGATTTCAGTGAACATTTCATGAGTTAGCACACCTACTACATGGCTGAAGTGACATTCCCTAATCCGACCAGCGATCAGCATAAATCACTCAACCCTACTCCCATACGACTTTGATAATTCTTGATTGTAGTGAACTGGCTGAACTGGAGAGCACGGCTTGTAGGCTCATGTTTGAGTGATGTCAAAAAAAGAAATCAGAAACGACGTTTCCAGTCTGTCTTGTATCCATCACTAGCGCTTCATGAAAATACTGCACTCGTGCATCAGCTAGGAGAGAGGGGCTAGGGAGTAAGGGTTTACGCAGGCTTTTTGGTGACTCCCAACCGTTGTAATGACGACGGAAAATTTTGTGCGTCGTGGCTATGTTTACTGCAAAGCATGGATGCTGGAGTTGGGTCGACCAATAAGACTCAAAGACTTGCATGCCTCATAGTTTAAAAAAGGATTTAGCTGTGCGGGCTGGTCATGTTCTACATCCATTTGGCCGAGTCCATTTGCGTCCGCCCAACGAGGCCTTTTGCCATCAGGTCACATCGAGAGATCCATTTCAGGATTATATTTTCATGATCATATATATATATATATGTGACGCTGAAACTAAACTGAAGTGCGAACGTCAGGTGAATACGACAGTTCGACCATAGTGAACGATGATGTCCACCGTGAGTCCCACGGCAGGGTGGACACGGGAACAGTGACTTGCCGATTACTTATTTTATGGCAACGGCAGGCTTGTGCCGCACCTGTCGCACTCACTCCTCCCCATCCATCTAACCCTAGTGTAAAGACAACATCATAACGACCGGAGGCTGAGTCGGGAGCAGTGACCAATAAGGCTAAAGTGTCCGTCTATGCGTGCCACACGTGCTTGTTCCACGCGCCATGGACTGGACGTTCACACAGACAAGAAAGTGGCACAGAGGCCACATTAAGAAGGAGCCATTGCGACTCGATTCTCCTTGTATGATGGGAAAACTGAGTTCTTCCGTCAGTTGGCGTCAATCAAGCCGTGGCCTTTAGAGCATTTTGATAGTTTAAAAGCGCGGCCTATTGTTTTGTATGAGGAGGTATACTGAAGTGCCGTGATAACGGAGTCCTCAGAATCGGCCTCAACCTCTTTTCCCTTCCCTAGGCCCCGGTCAGCTCTCCGAGCCGGCCGGTCATCCTAAACGGAGAGCGGGCTCAATCGGCCGGCGCGACGAGAACCTGCGCCTAGGCGTGCCACAACACCCCTCCCCCCCTGTGTGCGACATTTGTTACGGGTGCGCAGCCCGATGAACGCGGTTCGTAACCTGATCTATTTCCCATGTCGGTACAGTGCAAATCCCGTGTGTCCCATTGTAGCGGTAGGAAGAAAAAAGATGTCACCGACACCCGGTATCCCCAGGTCGCCGCACATGCGAGTGTAGACTGGGACCAACGTATCCTAACTTCGGTGACCGGGCGCGAACCGGTACTTTCTATGTGGTATATTCACTTGCTGACAAGTCGACTTCCGCTTCTTCACTGCCTAAACTTGGGTCGCTACAGGCACGAATGCGACGTTAAACGAGATCAACCATAGAGACGGGGTAGGGCGAAGCCGAAGAGCCAGCCCTGGCGGCCGAACGCAAACTTACCGCCAAAAATACTTCCGATGCGGTACCTACGAGGCAAGAGAGACAGGATTAGCCCCAGCTGGTTGGTCATCAAATCAGACTCTCCGGTATTGGGTGCGGACCTAGTCGTATGCGATAATACTCAAAGTCGCACGAAAGTGGCCTCTACGCGTACGTCATGACTCCCGAGTGGGATGCAACGAGTTTAATTTGTCCACAGGCACCCGGCCCATGGTCACAGGGGTTGCGGTTTGTAGACTAACTCATGAAATGCCACAAGGGAAGTTGAGGCGGTCAATTTTACGTAACCTAAAATACTGCACATCTTATTTATTCGCCTAGACATTTCCAGAAAACGCCCTTTTTGCATGTCGAATATATTTATAAGAAGCTTCATCAGCCAAAATGCTCACGTCACTTTGTGTTCGCGTAGTTTCCCATGCTAATAGATGTTCTGGACTAGGTTTGGGCGTTTGTAAGTGTATTTCTATTAGAGGAGACTAATCCAAACTCGAGAATCTTGACAAACGGAACTTGTCGCGCTTCGAATCGGTTCCTTCTCCCAGCAAATCAGATGGACCAGGGCGTAGGTAAGAAGGTTATGTTTAGAAAACTAGACGTTTTATCGACCCACAAATCTGTGTGATTCCACGCCTTTAAACGCAGTAATAACGCATAGAGACAATCCCCTGTTTGAACGTTCAGGTGTTCATCTGTCCTTTGCGAACACTTAACAAGTTGCCGTGGAAACTTTCTGCAATACTTTACTATTTATACGGTCACCCTGTAGTGCATTTATAATTGTAGAACGGAGCCATGAAGTAAGAAGATATAACGAAACCGCCCGTAATATAAGGAGAAAAGTGGGTTCTTTCGTTCGCAAAAGAAAAACTGACATACTGCAGTAAAAGAAAAAACTGAATAAATTTAATGGGAGAGAGTTCTACTAATATACAGAAAGTAGCATGTTTGCGATTGCACTTTTCAATTATATTTAAACTACTTAGTCACCGACCAACCGGAGAAATCAAGTGAATTTCCGTTTGCCTTAGTCAACCGAAATCTTGGACGATGAGAATGCGAAAAGACTACAACAAATTCTTGTGAAACTGTTTGGGAGGTAAAACTCAAACTGTGGGCTGTTGGCTAATCGCCATACTTGAGGATACATTAATTCCTACAGGATATCTAAGTGCAAACTTCACTAAAATATTATTCCTAAACGCTCTTCTATTTGCGCTGTTTTATTTGTTCAGTTACTTGTACAGTTACGACTTTTTACCTATTCAAAATATATGCTTATCTAACGAAATAGCTATTTCTAAACAAGATAACATTACCCTTAACATCGCTCAATTCACGTATGACCGTTCATTATTTACTTGGTGCTATGGTCTACTCGTTTGTGTCGGTTTGTAAGTAACTGGTAATATTTCGTAAATTTCGTCGCATTTCATGAGTTACCAAATCCACTGTATTTCCTCGCCTGCCCATGCCTTTTACTTACCCCAGGGGACTAAAATGTAGCCAGAAAGGTCATCATGCTGCAGCTCACGTGATCCTACCAGGCCGGAAATGTCTCGAGGCAGCTGACGGACGACTTCACCGACCGGTCAAAGAAGTCGGCCGGGATTGTTAATATTGATCGAACATTTCATATTGTCCAGCGACAGTTCGATCGTCAACTCGACGAGGTCCGCCGTGTGCTTCACAGCAGGGTGGGAGCAGGGATGGTGGTTGGCTCTGGAAAAAGTTTAATGATAGCAAACTTGCGCAGCACATACCGCACACCACTCCTCTTCTAACACTACTACCGCCATTACTGCTGCCGCCGCTGATGCTGCACCTAATACCTCCACTGTTACTGCTACTAATACCGCCACCACTACTACTACTACCAGCACTGCTACATCAGTAGTCTTAAGCATTCTGCACACCGTGTAAATACTTCGTGGCTTAACTACTTTTCGTGCACATCCGTACCGTTTCAATGGCTTCTCCAGCGACAGTTGGACCGTCGATTCGACGATGTCCTTCACGGCAGGGTGGACGCAGGGACGATAATTGACTCGTGAAGTAGTTTAAAGTGATAACAGACTTGCGCAGCATCTATCGCACTCCGCTCCACGCCTACCTAGGCCCAGTGTCACATGACTGGGTCAAGTAGACCGGAGGTGGAAGAGGGTGCAGGTGGCTAGCGCGGCGAGAACTTGCACTTAGGTGTGCCACCACACTCCCTGGTCCACAAAGCACACTGACAAGAATTTGATGTTAAAAGGTTACGGGGGACGCACGGATCTCAATTGGGGCCGCATGAGCCTGAAGGTAGGCATGTTATCACACCACAACGTTGGACTTAATTGTGGGCGCACATTCCTGGTAGTGTCTGTCGGGCTTCCATCTAGTCCCTGTGTTTGTTCAGCTCATCTACCATGTGGCCAGCTCTACGACACACTGTTAATACCACGATTAACGCCATAACTACTAGCATTGCGTCACTGCTACTATTACTACTACTATTGATGCTGCTGCTACTACTACTACTACTACTGCTGCTGCTACTACTACTACTACTACTACTACTTCTACGACCAATACGACTGCCACTAGCCATACTATTGCAGCTTCCGCTATCACCGCTGCTGGTACTATTATCGCCACCACTGATATTGCTGCTTTTACCACTACTACTGCTGCTAACACTACCACCGGGGCTACTACTGTTGGCACGGTCGGACCCGCATCTGGGCGTGCCACCATACCTCCCCGTCCACATATACAGACAGACTCACACTACTACTGCTGCCGTCATTGATACTGTCGCTTTTAATGCAACAACTGCTACCACTAATCCCACTACAGCTGCTACACTGTTACAATAACTGCAATCCCCGCCACAGTTGCTAGTACTACTACCGCTACCAATGGTACTACAACCACCACTATTGCTACTACCACCACCATCACCACTAAAATTATCACTACTACTGCTTTTGCCACCATCACTACTGCTCCAACCGTTACTACTACTGCTGCTACTACTACTACTACTACTACTACTACTACTACTACTACACGGTGGACATCGTCGGCAGCCTCGGCCGAACTGTCGTAGTGTTAGTGGTGGTAGCAGTAGTAGAAGCAGTAGTGTTGTTAGTATTATTACAGTGCGTGACCTATCTCATGAAATGTTGGCTGAAATTCTGAAATGCGTTTTCGATTAGGAAGGATTACTTGGTCGCGGTTGTAATACTGATTATATTAACACATACTCTTATAACATTTCGGACTTGGCAGGATGTCGGCTTTTAAGTGCACTTCTCTTCAATCTCCTGTAGAAAGCGGGCTCGGTAAAAAATGACTACTTTTGTAGCATGCATTTTTCCAACTGATTTTCGATGGTCGTGCAAATTCAAATATATTTTTTAGAAACCTTAAACAAAAATATGCTTTCTTTTAGTCAGTCAAAAGAAAATCACGTTTTCTTTATATTTTATACTTAAGGAAGGAGTATAATTAGGTTACAAAAAAGTTTTCTAATTGCCGAATAATTTGGAGCCTGGGCACGCGTCGCATTAGCGCTTAGTGATTTCACTCTACAAGGTGCATGCGTTCCGCGTAAAGAAAATCACATATATTGATACTGTCGCTTTTAATGCAACAACTGCTACCACTAATCCCACTACAGCTGCTACACTGTTACAATAACTGCAATCCCCGCCACAGTTGCTAGTACTACTACGGCTACCAATGGTACTACAGCCACAACTACTGCTACTACCACCACTACTACTACAACAACAACTACTACTACTACTACCACTACTACCACCACCACTACTACTACTACTACTACTACCACCAGTACTACTACCACTACTACCACCACCACCACCACCACTACTACTACTACTACCACCACCACTACTACTACTACTACTACCATCACCACTACTACTATTACTACCACTATTACTGCTACCACTACTGCTACTACTACAACTACTACTGCCACTACTACTACTGCTGCTACCATTACTACTACTACTACTACCACCACTACTACTACTATTACCATTACTACCACTACTACTGCTACCGCTGCTACTACTACTTCTACTACTACTACCAGCACTACTACATCAGTAGTCTTAAGCATTCTGCGTACCGTGTAAAAACTTCGTGGCTTAACTACTTTTCGTGCACATCCGTACCGTTTCAATGGCTTCCCCCGCGACGGTTGGACCGTCGATTTGACGATGTCCTCCATGTGCTCCAGGGCAGGGTGGGCGCAGGGACGGTAATTGGCTCGTGAAATAGTTTAAGATGATAGCAGGATTGCGCAGCGTATACCTCACTCACTCACAACCTCACCCTTGCCTAGACCCTGTCTTGACTGGGTCAAGTAGACCGGAGGTGGCCGGCACGGCGAGAACTCGTACCTAGGCGTGCCACCACACACCCTGGTCCACAAAGCGCACCGACAAGAACTTGATATTACAAGGGTACGGGAGGCGGCGCAGATCTCAGCTGGGCGTGTTATCACACCGCAATACTGAACTTTATGATGGATGCTCATTCCCCGCTGTGCCTGCCGGACTCCCATCTAGTCCCTGTGTTTGTCCAGCGCATCTACCACGTGGCCCGCACGACGACACACTGTTAGTGTCACAATTAACACAACGGCCAGCATTGCGTCACTGATATTATCACTACTACTGCTACCGCCATTACTACGACCAACGCTGCCAGTACTACTTTTACCACTACTACCGCTGCTAACACTACCACCGGTGCTACTACTGCTATTACTACCGCCACTTATGCTGCAGCTGAGAATTCCACTGTTGCTGCTGCTACTATTAAACCAGTACTATTACTACTACTGCTACCAATACCACTACTACTGTTGCTACTACCACTACTACTACCGGTACTAATAAATCGTTAAGTTTATTTACTCAGCACACCAAAACTAAGTGTGAGAATTTCGCTACTTATCTACTTTTCGTGAAAACCTGAGCCGTTTCAACTGAGTTTCAAGGGCTTCCGTCATTTACTCCAGATCAGACCGTCGTTGCCGACGATGTCCACCGGGTGCTACACAGCAAGGTGCAGCAGGTACAGCGACTTGCGCGTGATTCAGTTCACAGTGATAGTGCACTTTCGCAGCACCTATCACACCTCCTCTCCCACCTGGACCCGGTGACAAGAAGACCGGAGGGGAGGGATGGCGCAGGTGGCTGGCACGGCCGGACCCGCATCTGGGCGTACCGCTCCTCCTACTACAACTGCTACACTGTTACTATTACTACAATCACCACCACAACTGCTAATACTACTACTGCTACCACTGGTAATACAACCACAACTACTGCTACTACCACCACCACTACTGCTCCAACCGTTACTACTACTACTACTCCCATCATTACCACTATTACTACTACAACTACTACTGCTGCTGCTACTACTACTACTACTACTACTACTACTACCACTACTACAGACTACTCCTATCACTACCACTACTACTCCCATCATTACAACTATTACTACAACTACTACTGCTGCTGCTGCTACTACTACTACTACTGCTACTACTACTACTACTACCACTACTACAGACTACTCCTATCACTACCACTACTACTACTCCTATTACTACCACTATTACTACTACAACAACAACTACTACTACTAGTACTACTACTACTACTACTACTAATACAGACTACTCCTATCACTACCACTACTACTACTACTACTACAACTACTACTGCTGCTACTACTACTACAGACTACTCCTATCACTACCACTACTACTACTCCTATTACTACCACTATTACTACAACAACAACAACTACTACTACTACTACTACTCCCATCACTACCACTACTACTAGTGCCGTTACTATGACCATTATTGGTACTACGCTGCCCCGAAAAGGCAATAAGAGACCTTTGTTCATTTGTGCAGATCTTTTGTTGCACAGACACCAACAACGCTTACGGGAGTTTATACACAGGGGAGAGGGAGCGTGCAAGGGGTAGGGCGAGCCGACAAAAACACGCCGACAACAGTCCACCTTGCTTAAAGTTTCGACAGCTTCTTCTTTTGCCTCTGAGCGTTCTTCTTCTTCGACTTCAGCATGGACTTCCTCAGCTTGTTAACACGCGAGGCTGAGGCCGTGTGTGTGAGGACACGCACATCCTTGCCGATCGAACGAATAGACTCCGCGTCGTTGCGTTTCGAGCGCTTCTTCTGACCCCCATGGCCGTACTTCTGGTTCTTGAAGGCGCGTTTGTAGTTGATTCTGCCGGCAAGAAAGCATAAGTGGGGGGGAGGGTGCTGTAGCGTTATGCAGTGGAGGTCTTCCCCCAAAGACAGGGCAAAATGGCTTGTAAAGGAAAAGGGACATAAAAGCGGACTTTATGACAATGCTGATTGGGTGCAGAGCGAATGACGACCGTTCGGCTGTCGACTCCGATGACGTCCAACGAGTATGCCACAACAGGGTGGGGGCAGGGACGATGACTTGTGCGTGGATTTGTTTGACAGTGGTAGACTTTCAAGGCATCTACCGCACTCTCTCTACTTCCCTCCCACTTGGGTCTGATGAGTGCTACCACACCATCACCAGTAGACCACTCCACACAAAAACACACTGGGCCGACTGCGAGGTCCAAGTTATCCCGTCAGTTGGCTGCCTTCCAAACATCGACCTTTGGCGCACCTTGATAGTTTCGGGCGCGTCGGATTGTTTTTAGTGTGGAAAATGCACTGAGCCATCGACCTCACTCTCCCTTCCCTTCTACTGGGAAGTGGACTTGCACAGCATCCATCGCACACTCTCTTCCCCTCTCCCCACACTGGGCTGACCGGCTCGGATCCCACTGAGTGGGAGTGCCATAGTGGCCACATAAGGAAGCAGCTATTGCAGCCCTACTACTCTCAGTCTACCAGTAGACCACTCCACACAAAAACGCACTGGGCTGACTGCGGGATCCGAGTTATACCCTCAATTGGCAGCCTTTAAGGCCACAGCTCTTAGCACACCGAGCTGAATTCCACTAATCTGGCGCCCCGTCGAATGCGAGGTTGATTGGAGCGCGCGCCCTTATGCTGCCATGCAATTAGGGTTGGTAGCGAATATCACTGCTAGGTTGTTTTGGCCATTCTCGACCACAGCATGTCTCCCGACTTGTACCCGGAATCCAATTTCAGGTTTCTACAGTCTGAAGGCGGGTGATGACTTGTTGACAAGGACGGCAGTTAGGTCAGACATGGCGATTCCAGTCGCCCTGGTATTCGTCGACAATTATCCTACGGATGTAGTCATGTGTCCGTAGTGATTTCCTTCGATTCCATCCAGGGCGTGTGGGTGCTGGGCAGTTCTAACCCCAAACACCTACTAACTCGTCCCGCTATATTTTCCCCTGATTGGTGTCCCCATCAAGTGACAGTTCAGCCGTCCTTTCCAACGATATCCGCAGGATAGTGAGAGCAGGGACGACGTCTTGCAGGTGCACTCATTTATAGTGATAATAGACTTGCGCAGCATCTACTGCGCCCTCTCCTTCCCCACCTGGGCCTGACGTCGTTGGTAAAGTAAAGAAGACCGGAAGTGACAAAGGCTGTAAGTGACTGGCACGGCAAGACCCGCTCCTAGGCGTACCACCTCTGGTCCCTCCACGCACAACTCACCAGAAGTTTCACAACTGGAAAAACAAGGACGACTTGGATCCTGAGTGGCAGTGCTATGAAGGCCACATTAAAAAGCAGCCACTGCAGTCTGACTCAGTCCACCAGGGATAGTTCGATCGTCGAGTTCGACGATGTCCACCCTGTGCTTCTCTGCAAGGTGAGAACAGAGACGGTGACTTGTGCACACTACCACACTCTTTTTTCCCCATTCTGCACCCGGACGCGGTGTCAAGACAGTCCACCAGTCGGCCACTCCACACAAACACGCACTAAGCTGACTGCGGGGTCCGAGTTATCCCGTCAATTGGCAGCCTTTCAGGCCACTGCTCTTAGCGCATCGTGATTGGCTCATGCGCGTCAGATTGTTCATCGTGAGAAATATGCGCCGAGACCGTCGACCACACTTTCTCTCTTCCCACTCCCAGAAAACAGTCCACTACTCTCAATTATCTGCTGCGGGTAGTGGCCGCGCAGTGGCTGACAGGGCCAGAGAGCCTGTCTGCAGAGCAGATAGCGGACGGAAGAAATACGGCGCGATGGAATACATTAGCGAGGCAGGGGGAGGGGGGCCATTTCTGACCACACTAATGAATCCTCCAGGCCGTTGTAACGTGTGGTATTTGCACTTTACCGCAAAACCAGGACACACGCACACGTACACACTCAAGCCAGTGGTTAACTGCAGAGAGTTCCCCAGCTATTGTACTTCGGGAGCGTGAAGAATACAGTACGCACAGTTAAACCTCTGAAAAATGTGCGAGTGGACGAGCGGGTGTGACCGCTTTGACAGCGACACAAAATATCCGGACAGACGATGTGGTCATTCTACTCTAACCCTGCCCATATCTTGCCTCTGGCTCCTCGAAACTGCACTGAGCGCCCTGTCACAAATGAGATCGGACGGCGTTTTCTTCAGGGATAGCCAAGTTTAAGTGTGTACGATCCGGTGTTGGAAGCAGAACCAGCCGAGTTGTGGCAGAATGTGGGGTGGCCCAATGTCTGGTCGGTCACTGGCCTCGAACACCGAGCCAGCCCCTTTGGCTTGGAACAGGATGCTTGTAGGAGATTGCGAGGTTAATATTATTTAAATCTCACGCATGTCGCTACTGTTTCCTCGGAACGGTTGTAAGTCAGCCTCGTTATTAACAGACTGCAAGTATGTTCCTGCTGAAAAAATCCCCTTGTCTTGTCCTTCAGGGGCAAAATCAAGTCCCTTTTGGCCTTCAAGCAATGCAGATGGGAAGCAATTGCAGGCCTGTCAACAAACAAGTATCTGCAGTTGACGAAGAAAAGTAAAAATAATCGCAATTCGACTTCACGTGCACACACAAAATGGCGCAGGTCGCTAACAAGACAGCAGGGGGCATGCCTAAGGGCTTGGGTCTCTGACAAACACACTGTGAATCGAAATACCGAACTCCCCCCTGCATAGCCCACGCTGCGCACGTGTCAGGCGGTGCGGTCACGTTCGCAGTCAAGAGCGCACAGAGCGAGAGAAATAAAAACAGGCCGCACAGTTAATGGGCCCGTGCATGGGCCAGAGGACGAAGAGTGCCACAATGACTATTCCGGCGAGTGCACATTTTCCTTCTTTTCTGTAAAATTACGAAGTACTGACCGACGCGCAGTCGATTTGGCTGACAATGACCAAAAAATGCAGGTCCTAGCGCATCTTCCGTTGTGTTGGAGGTTCACGGGAAATCCCAGTAATCATCATCCATGCCGCAAACGGGAATGATCTGACTATTGCAGAAGAGGAACGCGATTCTCCCGCCAGACATCTCTACATCCAAGCCTTATTCCGCCGGACAAATAGCATTGCAGAGACCGATAACCCAAGAACCAAATGGCTACTTTTGTTCCTCGAGAGCAGAAGTAAAAAAGAGACTGGAATAACCTCACACTTATCCGGTCGGCACCACTAGCACAGTCAATAGATGATAAGGGTTAAGGACGAACCACATCGGAAGTCCAGAATACGGATAACTGAAGTAAGCAGTCCAGCTAACCCATTTTTCCTCTCTTAGTCTGTCTCTGAAAATAAACAACACGCAACGCCTCTCGAGCTCAACCAAGTCGCGGAATCGAACCCCAGATGTTTCACACTTCGAGGGTGGGTAGGACCGGCTGACGACGGCTAAAAGGCAAGAAATGCCCATTCCAGTCTCCCTTGTCTTCGTCGGTAATAAGACTCTGCCTATATCATGGGCCACTGTGCGGCTGTTGGTTGGACTCGAGAGAGCCCGTAAGGCACAACGGGACGAGTGAGTTCCGGGGAGCGCCCATCTACCATTGTACATTTCCGATCGCAACCGACAAGACAACGAGTCCGTGGCTCTGTGCTTAGAGAGGTTGGACCTCTAACTAATAGGTCGCGTGATCGAGCCCCAGGTGTCCCACACTTCGGGGTTGGGTATGACTGGCTGACGGCGGCTAATATGCCGGAAATGGCCATTGCAGTCTCCCTTGTCCTCGGCGGGATTAATTGCGTTCAATGACCAACGAATCGCAGAATAGAGGCTTAGGTGCTGCGAACAGGGGTTTGGGTAAGGCTGGCTGGCGACGGCTAATAAGCCGGAAACGGCCATCCCAGTCGTCTTTGTCTTTGTCAGTAATCCTAATCTGACCAGTTTGTTGTCAAAATCGCTCCTCCCCTAGATTCCCACACTCAGCCTGTGGTTTGAGACGAACTTTAATCGATCCCTCTAGTCAATAACACTCTTTTTAATTGACCCCGTCCTCATATGAGTGCACTGGCTCGATGAGAAAGTAACGAAAGCAAACGTATAATTCTCCACTAGTCTTCTGAATCCTTCTGTGGGAGTTTTCGTAACCCTGGTGAAAAGTAGCCAGGTAAGAATCCTACGAGTGCTGAGACTAAATAATGAATTAATAGTGGGCCAGACTTACGCCACGTCTACCGCACCCTCCCCGTCCTCACCCACCTAATTCTGATGGCAAGACAGTGTTATAAGGACTGGAGGTGGGCGTGGGCCAGTGGTTGACAAGGTTAAACAGTTCGCCCACACGTGCCACACACTCGACATGATCCCGGACCACTATCAGGGCAACTCGAGCCTCACGTCAGTGAAAGTGCCATAAAGGTCACAGTGGCAAAAAGCCATTGCGACCTGACTACGGGCTCTGAAATGGACTGCGTTATCCCATCAGTTGGCAGCTCCAGGTCTCACGCGTTTCCCGCCAGCTTGTGCAAACAGAACTCGATGGGCGGACGGCTCGTAGGCTTACGCACGAGGATAGCAGAGCCAGGCCCTACTGGTTGATAGACACAGTCGCCGACTGTGATGTGAGATCGCACAGATGCGACCATCACTGATAATATCATGCTATCAGTGGGCAATTTGGCTAGACTACGGCAGAAGGCCAGGGCTCCAAGACAAGACGAAATTGCTGGTATCAAGTGCTACAATTGGCGCCGGAACAGAGCGCACCAGTACCACGTGACGCTAACGGGGCGATTAAGGGGGAGGCATAAAAACCCGTGCTGGTTAACTGAATGAACACGTGACGGTCTGTACAGCGTGCGCGCGCATGCGAAACACCTTAGGCTCCAGAGGCTGATGGAGGCGCCAGGCTACGCAGGCTGTCTGACGACTATCCAATCGGTAAAAGGGGCGGTGCACGCAACGGGATGCGCTTCTGTTCTTAAAGCAGCAGCAGCAGCAGGGTGGACGCCGTGCCTATGAGTCCGACAATCGTCCCATTTGAGAGAGGGGAAGGGAGAATGGTATGACGCGCCACCTAAACTGACGCTTTTGATTGCCAGGCTGGTATAATCCCACAGAAGAAGAACTTACAGTAGATGTGCTAACTCCACAAAATGTTAACCGAAATTCTGAAATGCGTTTCCGAGTTGAAAAGATCACTTAAGTAGGGTTGTACAGTAGATGTGCTAACTCATTAAATATCAACCAAAATTTCGAAATGCGTTCTCGTTTCGAAAAGATAAATTAAGTAGTGTTGTAAAACTAATCATGATGCAGCTTAAATCTATAATGATCCAGTTACCTAAGGGTGTCGGCTTTCGAAAGAACTTATTTTCGGCTGCATGCAAGATCTACACTCTGAGAAAAATGANATGGCCAACCTCTAATTGCTCTGGTAATCCCCGATCCTTTGATGTACACAACCCATTTTGCGTGTTAGCTCTCCACTTTTATTCTTTCATAAATTGCGTTTTCAAGCTGTCCTTTTCGTTGATTAGACTGTCCACATTGAACAATGAACTTGATGTTTTCGCATTGATCCTCTGTAAACAATTTAACTTCCCTTCGGCTCCTTATTCCTTATCTGTGTTATTCAACAAGGGGTTGAGGTCGATAAGCTCTCGCAAAATTTACTGGTACCAGTGCATTCTGCTGTTTACGCCAATCCCCGATAAGTCAAAACAACTATAGGTGCAATAATTGCTTCTTTCACCATAAAAGCGCCCTACCACTGCATATTCCCGATCGAAACCGACAGGGCAACGGGCTCGTGGCCCGGTGGGTAGAGGCGTGGACTTCTAAACCAACAGGTCGCGAGTTCGAGGCTCGGGTGTTTCACACTTCGGGCTTGGGTATGACTGGCTGACGACGGCTAATAAGCCAGAAATGGCCATTCCAGTTCCCCTTGTCTTTGTCGGTAATACCATTCTGCTTCTTTCACCATAAATAAGGGGAAGTATTGTCAAGTAAACAGTAAACGACAGAGAAGAAAGTTTAGCAGACAACATGCCGGGGTCTTACAGTCACATTCCTACGTATAAGGCGAGCGTAAGCTGAATAATGGTCCAGGTACATACCTTTAGGATTACAATGCTTTCTACGGTAATGCAAATTTGAGAATCTCCTGCTAAAATACCCATGTTGATGCAAGGTTTCTCAGTAAATACTCGGCTCTCACCCAACGGTGTACCTGTGATGGGATGAGACGAAACAGTTAGGGAAGGATATCTTCTGGAAGATCTTGAGTCGGTAGCAAAGATCTGCAAGGAATAGTTAGACAATTTCAACAGGCCCCTAAAAAGTATGCGGTGGCGCACACGCAAGCACCTCGCTGCAAGAGTTCGACGGATTTTTGTGGTCGTAACTTTGAGGATAAGAAAGACAGGAGCGATACTGCCACTATTACTGGTGGATGGAGCAGGCTATGAATGTCAGAGGAGTGTCAGTTTCTGCTTGGAAGTAAAACGTCTAAAAACGTCTCTTATCGTGCGCAGTGTCTGCAGGTAGATCAAAAAATCGGAAAATCCTGCGCAGTCTTACTGCGCGCCCGACTCGACACAGCAGGCATGCATGAAGAACGTTCAGGGACTAAAGGGTGCCAGGCGAGAATACCGAACCAACAGCAGACTCCTGACGACTGATGCACGCAGCGATACAGGGAAAAATAAAGGGTGGCGGGGGGGGAGTTGTCCGCGTCGCTACGAGGGGGACCAAAGAGTGCGAGAGAGAGAGAGGGGGGTACTACTGCCCTCTAATTACGCCCGAAGTCGTAATTGTCGGGGCCGAGGAGGAGGAGGAGGGAGGAGGGTTTGCAAATAACTGTTCTCTCCGCGGCACCTCTCGAACACAAAAGACGCATGGCGGGCGAAGCCATGGCAACGCAGGCACGGGACAGGGATCTCTACAGTGGTGGGGCGGTAACAGGTCGCACAGAAGGGTCTGAGAGTAAAAGTCACCCAGACTTGCTGGAGGCAAGAAAGCAAGCAGCATAAGTGGCCGGCCTAGTTGCCTTTGGCGTGAACCCGCGGCTCTTTCTGGTTAAACCGCCTCCAGTGGGTCGATTCCAGGCCAGATGAGAAACACAATGGTCAAAACCTAAAAGATTGGCCACAATGCCTGAATGCAATGTTACACTTTGTCCGTCCCAGTTGAGGATGGTCAACTTGGCCATAGTAAGATTGCTGCTTGGCCTCTGGCTGGAGGCCCTTGATAGATCGCGCTACGGGGAGTGTAGAAGTTACTCAGTTGGCTCATTGACTCACTGCGTGTGTGAGTTGAAATTGGGATTTGACTGGAAGCTCGATGTTATACACACACACTGGCAAGAACAGCAGCTGTGAGCGGATAGTCTACATGGATACAGATCTGAGACCGAGAAAGGCAAAGTTGTGACAGCTGTGACGAAATAAGGAGACTGGCAGCTTGCGTGGATCCCAGCTTCGAAACTGCTACGGCGAATGTTCCGTCCACTAGATCCTACACTAAAACCACAGACGCCGGGGACAGACGATTCAGCGTGAACTACTCGGAAAGTTAACCTGGAGAAAAAAACTATTGCGGCTGGATCAGAGGACCGCGATGGCCCATTGACTGTGGACCTTCAAAAGCATGACCAACGGAACGTCAGGACAGATTAATAAATGAGAGTTTGAGAGGCTACGGCGAGGAGACCAAGTGCCGGATTTGGGCTGGATTGACCTCATACTCCCTCTCGTAGCAGCGGCAAACCCGATACGAAATGCAGTCGGACGCAATGACTGGCGTGAAAACCTCTGTCCAACGTCCGTCACATGCAAAACGGCAAACGCACAGGGGGGAGAGGGACTCACTTTCGTCTATTGGCAACGTCCTTCGGTCTGTAGAAGGTTCGACCCTCCTCCTTTGCATTGGGAGCCGACTTGTTTTTTCCACTCTGTTTGCCACTGGAGAGAAAATCTTCTAGCAGTTGTGCTTGTTCTTTGCCACCTTAAGAGAGAAAGAGATTGCAAAACAAATGTGAGCTGGGAGAGGATTAAAGACACAAAGCGGGTAGTGCGCGCTCGAGAGAATCTAAAAGTGCACATATTGCAATTAACGTAGGGGATGGATCTTCCTTTGGCGAATCGGCGCCTGGAACTCCACCATCGCCCCAACTGTTCGCATTACCCTCGCACATAAAACCATCGCAAGGGCTTATTTGGTCGACGGCAAATCACAGCAGAATAGACCACATCGACACACGACAGTTCGACCGTCATGACTCACGATGTCCACCGTGTGCTCCACAGCAGGGTAAGAGCAGGAACGGTGACTTATGCGTGAATTAGTTTACAGTGGTAGTAGACTTTCACCGCGCCTACTGCACTCTCTCCCTACCCCCACCTGGGCCCAACGTCATGGCCAAGTCAAGAAGACCGGAGGCGGGAGAGGGCGTAGGTGGCTGACACGGTGAGACCCGCGTAACACCATATCCTTCGGTCCACAACAAACACTTGACCAGGACTTTGACCAACAATAGCAGTGAGGGGGGGGGGGCGCCAGGGACCCCAATTGGCACGGTCTGAGTCGGAAACTGGGTCCGTCACTGCACCAGGAACGTTGGTATTTGTTATGGGTGCGAATTTCTGATAACGACCGACAGAGTCCGACCTAGCCCTCCGGTGTTGGTTCAGCGCATCTACTGCATGCCCCGTCTTAGGGGCACAACGCAGCCAACTCGCACGTAAGTGGGAAGTGTTCTCTCCATGTGGCTCCTCTGTTACATGTGAGATCGGAGCAATCCACACCCATGAGCGATATCCCGGCGTGTGGAGGACTAGGTCGCGTGTGTGACATGCGCAGATGGGCTATTCTTAGCTTTGCCAGTCACCTCTCCCGATATCCGACTAGGACAGCGGACTGATGCCAGAGAATGGGGAGTGAGTTCGACGGTCTCAGAGCATATTCCTCACTATGAACAATCTGACGCACCTGAAGTTACCACGGTGCGCTAAAAGCCGTGGTTCATAAGGCTGCCAACTCGGACCGCACAGTCAGCTCAGTGCGTGTTTGTGCAAAGTGGCCGACTGGTGGGCTGCCTTGACACCAGGTCCAGGTGGGGAATGGGGAGGAGAGAGTGCGGTAGATGGTGTGCAAGTCTACTATCACTATAAACTAACTCACACACAAGTCACCGTCCTGCTCTCACCTTGCAGTGGCGCACACGGTGGACATCGTCGAACTCGACGGCCTAGAGTGGACTGAGAGTCAGGCTGCAGTGGCTCCTTTCCAATGTGGCCTTTATAGCACTGCCACTCAGGATCCAAGTCGTCCTCTTTTTGTAGTTGTGTAAAATCCTGGTCAGTTGCACGTGGCCCTCTGGCCCTGGCATGGGCCAATTAACTGTCCATCCTGTTTTCGTTTCTTTCGCTGTGTGCTTTTTTGACTGCAAACGTGACCACACCGTCTGACACGTGCGCAGCATGGGGTATGCAGGGGGGAGTTCGATATGTCGATTCACGGTGTGTCTGTCAGAGACCCATGCCTTGGGCATGTCCCCTCCTGTCTTGTTAGCGACTTGCGCCATTTTGTGTGCGCACGAGAAGTCGAATTGCGATTATTTTTACTTTTCCTCGTAAACTGCAGGTACTTATTTGTTGATAGGCCTGCAATCGCTTCCCATCTGCATTGCTTGAAGGCCAAAAGGGACTTGGTTTTGCCCCTGAAGGACAAGACAAGGGGATTTTTTCAGCAGGAACATTCTTGCAGTCTGTTAAAAACGAGGGTGACTCACAACCGTTCCGAGGAAACAGTAGCAATATGCGCGAGATTTAAATAATATTAACCTCGCAATCTCCTACAAGCATCCTCTTCCAAGACAAGGGGGCTGGTTCGGGATTCGAGGCCAGTGACCGACCTGAAATTGAGCCACCCCACATCCTGCTTCCAAGACCGGATCGCACACACGCCGTCCGCTCTTCTTTGTGGCAGGGCGCTCAGCGCAGTTTTGAGGAGCCATAGGCAAGATATGGGCAGGGTTAGAGTAGAATGACCACATCGTCTGCTCGGATATTTTGTGTCGTTGCCAAAACGGTTACACCCGCCTGCCCACTCGTTAATGCATATATTTTTCGGAGGTTTAACTGTGTGTACTGTATTCTTAACGCTTCCGAAGTACAATAGTTGGGAAATCCTAGCAGTTAACCATTGGCTTGAGTGTGTACGTGTCCTAGTTTTGCGGTAAAGTGCAAATACCAAGCGTTACAACGGCCTGGAGGATTCATTAGTGTGGTCAGAAGTCGCTCCCCCCCCTCCCCCTCTCCCGTTAATGTATTCCATCGCGCCGTATTTCTTCCGTCCGCTATCTGCTCTGCAGACAGGCTCTCTGGCCCTGTCAGCCACTGCGCGGCCACTACCCGCAGCAGATAATTGAGAGTGGTGGACTGTTTTCTGGGAGTGGGAAGAGAGAAAGTGTGGTCGACGGTCTCAGCGCATATTTCTCACTGTGAACAATCTGACGCGCATGAGCCAATCACGATACGCTAAGAGCTGTGGCCTGAAAGGCTGCCAATTGACGGGATAACTCGGACCCCGCAGTCAGCTCAGTGTGTGTTTGTGTGGAGTGGTCGACTGGTGGTCTGTCATAAGACCGAGTCCAGGCGGAGCAGGAGGAGAGGGTGAGGTGGATGGAGTGCAAGTCTACTATCGCTATAACCTAATTCACGCACAACTCACCGTCCCTGCTCTCACCTTGCAGCGGAGCGGCACACAGTGGACATAGTCGAACTCGACAGTCGAACTATCCCTGGTGGACTGAGTCAGACTGCAGTGGCTCCTTTTTAATGTGGCCTTCATAGCACTCCCGCACAGGATCCAAGTCGTCCTTGTTTTTCCAGTTGTGTAAAATCCTGGTGAGTTGTACGTGGAGGGACCAGAGGTGGTGCGCCTAGGAGCGGGTCTTGCCGTGCCAGTCACTTACAGCCTTTGCCACCTCCGGTCTTCTTGACTTTACCAACGACATCAGGCCCAGGTGGGGAAGGAGAGGGCGCAGTAAATGCTGCACAAGTCGTATCACTATAAATGGGTGCATGTGCAAGACGTCGCTGTCCTAACCCTCCTGTGGATATCGTTGGTCGAACTATCGCTTGATGGGGACACCAATCAGGGGAAAATATAGCGGGACCAGTTAGTAGATATTTCGGGTTAGAGCTGCTCGGCACCCACACGCCCTGGATGGAATCGAAGAAAATCACTACGGACACATAACTACATCCGTAAGATAATTGTCGACGAAGACCAGGGCGACTGGAATGGCCATGTCTGGCTTAACTGCCGTCCTTGTCAACAAGTCATCGCCCGCCTTCAGACTGTAGAAACCTGAAATTGGATTCCGGGTACCAGTTGGGAGACATGCTGTGGTCGAGAATGGCCAAAACAACCTGGCAGTGATATTCGCTACCAACCCTAATTGCATGGCAGCATAAGGGCGCGCGCTGCAATCAACCTCGCAGTCGACGGGGGGCAAGAGTAGTGGAATTCAGCAGTCGTCTGTGCAGTCCCTATTTTTGGGCCCATTTCCAGGCCCAATCTGCAGGGCAGCGAAACAACGCTCCGCAAATGAAGTAGCGCACATGCTCGCATGACAGACAAAAAGTCTTACGGGAAGGGGCGCCTGGGTACTTTTGAAAGAAACAGATGTGCACCAGGGCACGAGAAAGAAAGGCCGACCAAAAATAGCCAGACGACGAACCGCCCCTGTCACTCTGGGCCTAAAGTCACGTAAAAGGACACTGATACTGTGCAGAGGGTTCCCACGAGACGGTTCTGCAATGCTTTGCGGGAAGCAGTGGGCATCATAAGTACCACCTACAGCAGGCACAATCCACTGACGTGACTGCATTTCGCGTGCCCGGACCGGGGTCTTCTTGGGGGAGGAATGGGTGGGGGGGGGAAGTAAAAAGTGCAACTATTCGCCAAGATGGACGGAGGAGGAAAGAAGTCACTGGGCTTTGGATGTTCAGGGAGAGAATTGGTAAGATGTGGTTTGGTAGCCCCAGCTAACGGACACAATCCTGTTGGGGTTGGGGTTTAGGATAAGGGGTTATAGTTAGGGGTTAGCGCAACTATTTCTCAACCATTAAAAGTACAACCACGCACTCCCAATAGCCTTTCTTTTGCATACAACTACTTGACCTGTGCATTCGCCGGCTCCACTTGAAAAAACTCCTATTTGCACCAGTCCCGTATTAGAGGTGACTGGGGTTTGTTGACTTCTGGTGGGACTACCAAAACCATATCCGACCAGCGAATTTCGGTGAATCCTCCATGACAAGGTGGTCTAAAAGGCGTCATAGGGTCTCCCACCAAATGCCCAGCCTGCAGCCAGCATGGTGGTCGAAAATTTATTTTAAAAAATAATACTTGACGCAGGCGATGCTCGAAAAGCCCCAGGAAACTGGAAATCTGACAGAAGAACGCCTATCGCAGTCCGAGAACTGGCGCACCAAGGCATGTCTATTGTGTGAAACTTTGGCCCGCAGACAAAGTGTATTTTCGATCCAAAAAGGAAAGGGACAGGGACATGGGTTTTCTGACTACCCAATACGCAGGCGTGAATGACTGATCCAGCTTCAGTCTTTCCCACTTCTAATCTCTTCCCCCTGCCACCTCCTCGAGGTGCGGCGTCGGTTTGAATCAACAACGACCTGGGAAATTCGGGCGAGTCAGCCGAAGACCACTGCGTTCGCAACGTCTACTTTGCCTAACTTGCCTGTGAGCGCTCGTTGTCACTTGGACAGGAGCTCATCAGCCACTCTCATGACGTGGTCGCTCCACCCAAGTTTTATCTGGTTCAGTTCAGCAGAACCGATCCTGCCACTTCGCTTTTGGCATCCTTTAAAGACAGCTTAGGCGGATGTGGTCCAGTTTTTTGGCCATCTTTGCTGCATTACCTGGGCCTCCGTCCCCATTGAGGAACTCTGGCAGGATAACAATCCGGCATATACTCAATTCCGCGCTGAAGATGCCAGAGCGACTCCACTGCGTACCGATGGCGTCTACAGGGGAAGAAAAGGCCCATAAGCCCCTGCCGCATGTCCGCTTCAGCTGTGATGTTCTGCGCAGTCGTCAGCAAAGAAAAGGTCTCTGTGACGGCCTGCACACGAGGATTGCAAAATAGTTTCCCGTTGGTTCGACTGTTGGTAGTGGCGATACCTGGTTGATCCTTACGCGGGGTGCCTCACCATAGGTGCGCAGAGCATGAAACCGTTTGGCACACCTAGGCAAAGTGCTGGAAAGACCCAACACGAAGGCTGATCCTCGTTTTCCATAATTACAGGAATGCAAAGAGGAGACAGTTTTTTGCATAATTAACATCGACTCTGGAAGAAGCTCTTGTTGCGGATGAAAATTCAGGCTGCTGAGTAGACCTCGGATGCGGATTAACTCGGCAATACTTGGAATGGAAATTCCCTGATGACCGTCACCATTACGTTTGCATTTAAAAGCCCGTCTACGCGCCGACGATTACTAGACTTGTGGATTTCTGTAGGAATTGAGCCCCTTGCCACAGCTTTCGTGCTGCAGAGAGGGTGGGCGACGGAAGTCAGCGTTGGACGCCTATGCCTCCCCCCCCCCGGCAGCCTGGAGATGAGCGGTTGAAAAGGCATTTCAGGTGGTCAGGCCAACACTCCAGGACCGGTGAATTCCCCGTCAGTCAGTTCCGTATACTGTCAGGACGATATTGGATTTCATTTGTTTTCCGAGATAGGCAGTTGTTTTGTATTGTCTTCAACTTCTATTACGATGGACGGCGACAGTAAAGAAATGCGACCTCGGTAAATTCCGTAGGGAAGGTTCTTCTCGCAGATCATTCGACACACTTTTTTCACATTTTTTAAAGCTGCCTTAAAGTCTTCAATGAGTTGCACTAATGGATTCAGCAACAATGATGTGGGTGTTACCATACAGTTTCTTCTAGCCATTCCCGACACCATCCTCTAGGGTCTGCAAATGATCCAGATCGATGTACACTTTGTTGCAAAGTTACCGTCCACGTTTAATCAAACCCAGAGCCCCTGTGTTGGTTTTTCCGATAATAAACGCTAAGCAAGACGAAATTGTGGGAGGTACAGAAATTGGATTGACGGATATGGCGGGAACGTCGCCAAGACAGAAGTAAAACATTTGCTTCCCTAAAATGGGCCGGCTAAATTACAGCCAAAACGAAGGACAAACTAAACCGTGATAAATTCGGGAGAGGACATAGGCGGTCCACCGGTGGCTCTGGTAACATTCTTAACGGTATCAAGACCAGTATTGACATTCAAGTAAGCACACATGCAGATGTGCTACACTTGGCTAATTTAACTTTATTACTGAAAGTATATAGTAGGTCGTATATATTCGGAAATGTCCACACACCTGGCTTCCTCTTCACAGCTTTCAATGCGTCCATGTGTTTCTTTTTCTCAAGACGGCGTGCTTCAAGCACTTCTTTCTGGGTCTGCTTGCCAAATTTGCGGGCCTGACGCAGTTGACGTGCCTTCTCCCGCAGTTCCAACCGTTTTTTGCTCATGACAATGTGTTCGCGCACCTATAAAAACGGCCAACAAATTCAGCACAAAAGGGAAACAATTCAATAAGCAGTTTATCGCACTAGACAAACGTCACCCTAAAAAAATTGCCCTTACCACCCAGGTATGTGAAAGCCTGTGAAGGGCCGTCACCTTGATTCATTTCATTTTGACCCAACTTCGGAAAACTGGGTGACCTCGGTGAGGTTCGAACCCAAGACACAGCAAGGGGAGGGCTTTATACAACCAAGGCTCGAGCCAGCTGAGATAGGAGGCCCCACCGGAAGATGTGAGTTTAATCACATTTGGGTCACGTTACCCACTCAGCCTAATGCAACATCCGGAATCCATCAAATCTGACACAGTAAGCTGGCTGTCCAAGCAAGATTTTCAAACCCACCAGATGACTGCTAGGCTCACGTAATGAAAAGTTTCTGGCAGATTTTGAATAGTTCATTTTGACCCAAATGTGAAAAACTCGGCGCCTCGGTGGAATTCGAACCCACGACATCAAGGAAAGGGCCTTAGTACAGCCCACGCCCTAGTCACCTGAGCTACGAGGCCCCACCAGGAGCCGTGAGTTTAACCACATTTGTGTCAAGTTACCTACGGCTGTACTACAGCCTAATCCTCGCGTTCGTGTGCTCGAATCGTACCGACACTGCAGTTTTTAAGGTTGTGTCAAAATGAACTATACGAAATCTGCAACAACACCTATAGATATAATGCATTTGCAAACTGTTTGCTAAGTCCAAAATAGGGAGATCTACACTGTTATCAAGTCCCACTAACGCTGAAATAAGGGTTGTGAAAAGAGTTCAAAATGAAAAACGGCACGACAAACTGATTTTAGTTACCAATCACAAGGATAGTACTAAAATTACCAATAATGATGATTTGTTTATTCACAATTAAGACATCGAGAAAATTGTTGCTGCGCTTGGGAGGCGATTAGTCGCAACTTTAAAAGAAACTGACTATCAAGGCGCAGTCCCAACCGACTCCCCACAGACTGGAAACATACATAAGAAAACGGGTATTTCAGTATTTAGTCGGGAGTTCAAACAGGCTGTGACAAAGGCCATTTGTCTCTCGTTCTGCAGATGCTTTCTAGAGCACCTATAGGAGGAAAGTGCTGGTGTGAGCAGCCCTAAAAGCAATGCATTAGTTGAACTCCCAAGTCTGCTTTTTACAAACTGCATAAATGAGTAAAAAATGTCCCCCCTAACCTTAACCATGTGATCGTCGGACTTGATCATTTCGGCAAAGTAATCTGCTGGTCGCCGAGTAGGAACATTAAGCTCGTGGAGGCGAGGAATGGCTTCCAAAACGGCTGCTTGAGCCTGACGATAGCTGCAGAAAAAAACATCGATATGAGTAACATATAAATCAAAGTGGTCGTTGTGGGCAAAATAGCAGGTTTACAATCACAAGGGCAAGTTCTGCAAGGTACCGAAAACAGGAGACACCAGAAGAGCGTTGAAAAACAGTCCTAGTTAACAGTGCGCGTGAATACCAAGTCAGCTAGAAACAGAGTGCAAGTATGTGTAAAGTGGTGTAAACTATCCAGATCAACTGGCTGACACCTGTGATGGCCTGGCCCTACTAGTGCAGGAGCAATGTCGTCCCGTGAGATGGAAAAAAATACAGGGGTCAACATGGCGAAATTCAAATTCCCAGGCCATCGGCAAGAGTTAAACGACGGCTTTGAAATTATAATCAAATGAATGAACTAACGAGACGGAATGAGGAAATCTGCCAAAGTGGATCATATAGCTGCTGACCTCGAAAAGGTCGAATCCGAAACCTGTCATGCCTTCGACCCCTCACCCTTGCTATTGATACTCTATTACGCATTTGTCAGGCACTCCTATCTAATATTCATTGAAACCAAACAAAATGGCAACAAATGCTTCGCAGCAAAACCGAAGAACTCCAAGTGACCGTCGGTATAGGAAGCACTAGGCCAGCCAAAATAACGCTCCACAAACGCGCTTTCATAATTACACCGTATGCGATACCATTCCTCAGAAGCATATTCTCACAACTAACTGGGGTCCGAGGGCAATATTTTCTTTGCCATAGACGTGGCTGGGTTTGAGACTTCAATTAGTGGTTAATTTCTCGAATGCGAAATTAGGCCATCTGCTAAAGGAACTAGTAATATCCTTCGTCACAGTTGCTCCGGTCGCACATCAAACTTGTTCAGGTCAGATGTCTCCGAAACTGTGTTCTTTCTGATGTCCTTCCCGTCACAGTGGCAGAAATGGAGCACGAAGTGGATGAACGTGAAGGCAGATTGGCACAGACAAAAAACGTGAACCACATAAGATTGCATTTCGTGTTTCACTCTGCTTAACTGCGCCGTTGACTGGATTCTCAAATTGAATTCACTGCTCGCAGTCTTCGCACTCCTTGAATCCATCAATCAAAACCCCACTGCCAGCAAGACCCAAGTGTGCCCTCGTGTACGGTTGTAAATGTTGAACTGTGCGTGTGGGTGGGTGGCAGGCAAAGACGAGAGGTGAATAACTGTCGTTGTTTGAAAGCTATCCCTCGAGTAAAGTACACTGACTTCGTCTCAAGAGTCCAAGCTCGTTGCTAAAATATCGCAAGGCTACCTCGGGCCATCGATTCAGGACGACTGAGGTGGCTCAGTGGCGTTCTTCGCTGTCTGCCCCATTAGTTCGACGATGCTATCCACAATTAGACATCGCGGTTCACCTGAACGCGTCGAAGAGGTCAACTCAAGACCTAGCTCAGCACAGTCCGTAAAGGCATGAAATTGACTTTCGGAACTTCGGTCTCCGCCATTGAATCGAGTTTGCTAGGTCTGCAGTCGCCGCCCGTCAAGCATGAAGAGGCACAATTGGCGACGTAAGAGGTCGGCTAGATCAAACATGATCCCGGATGCGTCGAGCAAAAGTGCATGACGAAACGAATTATAGAAGGGAGAACTACACTACCTGATGGCAGCGCCGAGCTCTGCGAACATCAAATGAGACTGAAGCAGACCGGCAGTATTATTCTACAAGGTTATGAACTGGGAAGCAGAATAAATATTCGTACATGACAGCAAGGTCAAGGAAGAGTGCGATTCTTAAATAACAACTGGGTGGGTCGGAGTGTGTTCCGAATGATTCGACATAAGGTTGAAAAGGCCAATAAGTAAAAATATGCAAACGTTGCCGAAATCCCGGACTTTAACTCAGGGACAGCTGTATAGCGCATAATACTGACGGCCTTCCAACTTACAAGAATGCCTCCCTCTTGAAATCATCATTGGGATCAATCTTATCGACATCGTTATCGAGGTCAGTGCCCTTCGGCGGTGGGGCCGGCCCGTTGACAATATCAAGCCTCTCAAGCCAAGGAAGACGATTCCGTAGGCGCTCCAACGCACTGACAAGCATCGGCTGCAAAAAGGAGAGAATGAGGTAGTTAACCCATTTCAGTGGAAGTGTGTTGTTGTATACTTACTTCATGTGTCCATTATATACATCACAAATGCTATTGCGTAGATAAATGGGCATAGTCTACAATCTCGCATAAAAACCTGGACCGCAAGGATTTTAAAACTCGCCTAAAATTTCGATTGTGCACCTAATTTCTTAGCATGAACTTTTGAGTGCATAAAACGGATTTTCGATCAAACGTTAGCAGCCCATCGCAATCAAGGAGTCCGCTCTAAGCTGTTAGCAGCGGCTGAACGAACTTGACTTCGGAAAACATGAATGACAAGATATGGAATTTGCAAATGCGGGTCAAAACCTTGAGTTTGTCACGTTAGCTTTGAGATGGATGACTTGAAAGCTTGAAACAAACGGATATGTTCACGAGTAGATGATTTTGCTGCTAAAGAAGGTCCACCAAGATGTAGTTACGAATAATCCATAGAAAAACTTCTTTTATAGTGAAGGGGCAGCCTAAAATTTGTAAAGAATCCCATAATAAAGTGTGTGACGCATAACGAGACCCACGCCTAATTGTGCGGCTGGCGTAAGAGACTGTGATACATATTTGGCTGGCTAAATCGCTCGAGGCCGTGCGCAGTGCAAAACAACAGTTAAACTTACATGGCAACCCTTCCGGCTGTCAATATTGGAGGACAACACAAATATGTATGAAAAAAAGCATAAAGAAAGGCGGTGCAAAATTCTGCTGATTGCAAGCTCCGAAACGAAATGCGCAAAGGGAATGTACCTTGTTGTTGATATAACTCTTTGGGATTTCAACCTCCCGATAAAGTCCTGGAGCTGATGCCAGCTCTTGAAGATCCTAACAACGAGGGAACTTTAGAAAATATTCACGGAACTTACCACATCTGATTCACCGTCTGACATAATTAACACGCGGCGAGGTAGACCACCACAAACCAATAACTCGCAGATGGCTGGAATCACAGCCAGATAACTACATCGGGACAATTTAGTGGTGTAGAAAAACAAAACGCGTTTCATGTTAAATTAATAAACAAAGCAAGCTTTCCAATTATACAGTGTTAGATCTTCCACTGAATGTAAGTGAATACATAATCGCAAAACATTTGAAAATGGGAGATGCAGCCATTCAGACCGATGGCCGTAACCATGGGTGTGGGGATTGTGGCAGTTGGTGCGGATAGCGAATAAAAATAGATTTATAGGATACAAAATTCTTCCGTCGAAGAATGTGAGGGAGTAATGAGCCTATGGATTTGACCCCGACTCATGGATTTCATACCGGTATTTGGAATAATTTCTGAGATTCCCGTGGTTAAATGGGCGATCAGCTGAAGTCAAATAATGATTCGTGCTACAATTATTGATACCAGTAAGAGCTTTCTTTAGCTCAAAGAAAACATTTTCATGACGCAAAACTTACCGGGAAGGGCTTTAAAGGTAAGACGCTTGATGGAAGAAACGTGGTGCGCGACGCCTACAAAGGCCTCAAGTATGCCTTCATTAGCTTACCACACCAACGTCTCCTATACAAGCTCAACCGCATAGGTTTAAGTGAAAGCTTTTGAAGTGCATCGAAGACGTCTTGGTTGGTCTATCTCAGATTGTCCATCTTGGTAGCCAGTAGTCGGTGAAGGTGGCAACTGAGAGCGGAATTCCTCATTGTTCCGTTCTTGGCCCTATCTTCTTCCTTTTATATATAATGATGACTGCATCCGCGGGTTGGAGTGCGACACCGTCATGTTTGCGGACGACACTTAGCTTGCTGACGTTATCGGAGAAGAGGACAATGAAGCAAATCTATAGGCAAACTGGAGCCGATTCGAACAACAGTCAGCCCAATAACTGCTTTCGTTGATTGTAACGAAATGCAACATTCTGCGAATAGGCAGAAACAGATATGCACACCGCAGGATGTACTACACTGAGAATATGATATAATTCAGAACTTAACTGAAGAATGAGACCGAGGGAGCTGAATGTCCGGATATGGATAGTCAAGTAGTGAGTTACGGTGAACCCACTGTATACCTCAACGGCGAGAACTCAGTTCAGGTCAGTTGAGTTTTATTAAAGAAAATGAGACTGTTTGCACTAATACATATGACAAGGAAGTAGTTGGTTGAAGTATGTGAAAAAGCAAACTTAAGTCGTACTTGATGGTCGCGAGTAATATGAAAGTACGTAAATTTAGAAGTGAAGCAATGACATGATACATGCGTGTCGAGTTTGGCCCTGAATGAATCCACGCATGGGGAGTGAACAACCGCAGCAAGGAAAACGTTCCACGCTGCAACCACCCTGGTTCTGTAAAAATATTTGGAGAAATCTGTATGTGTTTGTACTGAGCATAGTTTGATGGAATGACAGCACAACAAAGGTGTGTTATGAAGAAGAAGAAGAAGAAGAAGAAGAAGAAGAAGAAGAAGAAGAAGAAGAAGAAGAAGAAGAAGAAGAAGAAGAAGACAAGATCGCCGGGACGAGAGCTTTATTAGCCTGACGTTTCGGATTCCTACTCGAATCCATCATCAGAGACAAAAAAGCAGAAACGGGTGGTTGTTGCAAAAGGGGCTGCGGTATTTATAGGATGCAGTAGCCATGCTACGGCATACCTATGAATATTCACGGCTCCCTCCTTCATCAGAGATCGTCGCACGTGGCGTGATGTCCGACATTCGCGTCGTTAATTGCTGCAATTTCATCACGTGCGTTGGATGTTGGTGTGATGATTGCTCGAACATCTGACGCGCTGACCCGGGTGTTGAGAAGAGTGTTCACCTGTGCGCTCCCCGCGGGGCCAATTATTCCGCATAGGCGAAGTCTCAGCACGGAATATTGGATGGGAAGATCATTGCACTTGCTAATAGACTGGGGGCCAGTAAACCATGACTTAAGTAGTTCCTGGCTCACGTGGTTGTCACTTCTTGCGAGAATTTCGACCTCGTCGAATTTGAATGTGTGGCCCGATCTCGTCGAATGAGCCGCAACTTGACAGCTGGCGTCATTTCTCCGCACCGCTGCAACGTGTTCGGCCATTCTCGTATGCAGTTATCTTCCGGTTTCGCCGACGTAGTTGCTTTGACCGCAAGTGCACCAGATCCGATAAACGACTCCAGACGTTTCTAGCCGTGGCAGTGGGTCTTTCGGTTTCATGACCAGACGCCTGGTGGTTGCCTCCGGTCTGTGTGCAACTCCAACCCAAAGTGGTGCGAGAAGGCGGCCAACAGCTTCCGAAACGTTGTTGACATATGGAAGCGCTCGCCAAACTTTGGTGTCCGTGCGGTTAGGCCTTTCGTCCCTTTAACGTATGCACTGGTTGACGATGTTGCGCGGGTAGCCATTGACTTTGAAGACCCGTCGGAGGTATTGAAGTTTGGCAGTCTTGTCTTCCGGCTCACTGCAGTGCGTTTTGACACGCCGATAGAGCGTCCTTACACAACTGCGTTTGTGGCTGATTGGGTGGTTGCTGTTGAAGTTCAGTACTTGCATCGTATTTGTCGCTTTCCTGAACACGTTGGTCTTTAGTCCAGCACAATACTCGCGGCATACTAGTAGATCCAGGAAGACCAGCTGGTTGTTCTCTTCCTCTTCCATCGTAAATTGTATGTACGGGAAGACCGCATTCAGTCGTTCCTTGACTGTCAGCAGTTGATCCCGGTCGATAACGACGAAGGTATCACCCACAATAGTGTTGGTCTTCCTACACTACAAACCGAAGTTCTGGGCCCGGTATGTGGATGATACCTTCGTCGTGATCGAACGGGATCAGGTGCTGACATTCCAGGAACATCTCGACGCTGTCTTCCCAGACATTCAATTCACGATGGAGGAGGAAGAGAACAACGAACTGGCCTTCCTGGGTGTCCTCGTATGCCGTATGTTCCTAACACAAAGGTCGGTCGATCAATCATCACACCAACATCTGAAATCCGTGATGAAATTGCAGCAATTAACGACCATTAAATAGTCTGCAGAGCAAGTGCAACGATCCCTTTTAAAGGGGGGAGCCGTGAATGTTCATAGGTATGCGGCAGTCTGGCAACTGCATCCTATAAATACTGCAGCCGCATATGCATGAACCACGCTTATCTGCTTTGGTCTCCGATGATGGATTCGAGCAGGAATCCGAAACGTCAGGCTAATAAAACTCTTGTCCCAACGATCGCGTCTGAGTCTTCAAGACTGCTTCCTGGGACTCGTCTCTTCGCTACTATTGGCAAGGGTGTGTTAGCCTGAATGGAAAAATCGCCAGGAATGATCCAACAGCTCAGTCCATGCCTAATGCGAAGTGTTTGTATGAGCTTCCCTCGAACTTGCCTGTGAGAAAGTGGGGAGAGTTTGAGGATCAACCGCCGGTTTTCGTCGGGTAGTGATCCCAAACCTTTGATCATTCTTGTTGCTCATCTCGGGACCCTCTCTATGGCGTGCAGTCCATGGCGATCCAAAGTCACTATACCCGTAAATCGTACTCTAGATGAGGCCACACGAATGTTTCAAGTACCTTAAATAATCAGCCTTAGTCAAAAACCGTAAATGTACGCCTGATGATGTACAATGTGCACATGGTCGACTTGACCGCCTTCGTGCAGTGCGGTGTTGGTTTGAATAAAGATGCAATTCAGACGCCCAAGTCCTTTTGATTGTCAATTGGTTGCAGTGATTGATTATCTAGGAAATATGTCCTTGGACTGGAGACTCTACAGCTACCGATTTGAAAAGAGCTTCACTTGCTTACATTGAGGGGTACAGGCCAACGCTTCAACCAATCCCCAAGCCGGTTCAAGTTCGTTTGCGAGTGGTCTTCGTCTGCCATACAGGGAACAGCTTTCCACAATTTAATGCCGTCAGCGAAGAGGGTGACATCGCAGACTAGACCCCTGACGCAGTCATTGATAAAGATGGGGAATAATGCGGGATCTGGAACGGAGTCCTGTGGGAATCCGCTCATCACGGTTACCTCTGAGGAATGCTGATGTCCGGCTTGCACACTTTGGGTACGTCTAGTCAAAGGGTTCGGAAGCTATATGAGGAGGCTGCCACGAACCCCTATGCTGTGCAGTTCTGTGCAGGGGGTGTTGACATGGAACGCCATCGAAGGCCTTTTTGAGGTTGATGTGGACGGCATTCCTTCATCACATGCTTTGTTCCAGCGTTCAAGTTACAACAGAAGATTTGTAAGCCAGGGTCTACCATTGCGAAAGCCGTGTTTGACATCAGAGAGGGAATTCTGCTCAAGAAAATGCATCGAAGCTTTCTTGTTTCTTTTATTCATGGGAAAGCGCACTAACTTACCCACTTTTCCTGTAGATAATTGAAAAGAGAGGCTTCAGAATCAGCATAAACCTGAGCATTGATATAGGCGCCTGGAAACCACTTGGACGAAGTTTAGATTACAAACCAAAAAACTACTAACGCGGATTAACTAACATGTTCGTAAGGCATATAATTTGGTCAGCACATACTTCTACCCGAATTCTTAGGGGTCGGAATAAATTTCCTGGCTTGTGTCAGTCTCCTTCCCTGGGGAGCCATTTTTTTCTGCACCTCAGTTGCTAACATGAAATCTCAAAAAGGAGACCAATAAAAAGGGAAGGTTGTACAAGAAGTTTTGCGAAAACAATAACAATGTAGCATTTACAGAGTATTCAGTTCAAAGAAATAAGGTGACAAGCCTGATTTTCAGGCGGCGACGGGATTTCGAGAGTAATTTGCTCCACCAAACCGTTAAAAATCCGAAATTTCTCTACAACTATTTGCGGAAGAGCACCCGTAACAGGAATCCCATTCTTTTCATGAGGACTGATGATGTTTTGGAGATATCGGGGCAGTACAAAGTAAGCTGAGCACTTTTCTCAGTTTTTCCAATCCGTTTTCACAAGCGAAGCAGATTTTATTCCACGTAGCTCTGAGAACATGGATGATCCCACTATTGAAAATATTGTGTAAATGTCATGCACCATGCTGTTTTTATCAAATTCTTTGAGACAGTGTTAAAGTGAAAACAGAAGATTTGTAAGACAGGACCTACTACTGCGAAAACCGTGTTGCGTGTCAGAGAGGAGGTGATTCTGCTCAAGAAATTACACCAAGGTCTGCTTTATTATTTCCTCCATGACTTTGTGGCAGATGGAGGTGAGACTCACCGGTCCGTAGTTAGTCGCCGATTCTCGACTTCCACACTTAAATAACGGAGGGTTGATTGCGGACTTCCAATCGCAGGGTAGACATCCAGAGGCAAATAGGCCCGAAAGAGCAAGGCTAACGGCCTGGCCATCTCTTCAGTGAGCTCCTCCAGCAGCCTGACTGGAACTTCATCTGGACTTGACGAAGTGGATTCTTTCGAATTTAGCAAATCTACTTGAATGATAGCTTCCGTAAAAGAGACTGCCTCGACGGCAGGCACGTCATCATTAGATGAGGGAGGGGTGAGAAAGTTGGGTTCCTTGGAAATGACGGACTGGAAGAACTCAGAGAGATTTTCGGCCTTGTCCTTGGACTCTGTAGGTTCAGCACTTTCGACAGTTCTCGACTCTCACTCACTGTCGCGGAAGTACTCTAAAGATTACAAGATCAGAGAGGTTGGAAAGATTAAGTAGACTTTAAACGGCACCTTCACCTCGAGTTTGCAAGTACCCACCGGTAAAAGAACAGGTTCACCGTTTAAACTAGCCTGCAAAAACTACACTTTGCAAAAAAATGACTGCTTAAGTAGTATGAGCTTTTCCCATTGACTTCCAATGCCCTTATAAATTTAACTATATTTCACAGAAAACATTCATTCGAAAAATATTCATTCTTCTACTTATTTGGAAAAAATAACGGCTTCTTTAAATTTTATACCTGAGGGAAAGATATAATTCCGTTTTCAAAAGTTACCAATTATGAGGTTTTTTAAGACCTTGAAATGCCCGTTCGTAAAACATCGCGCCTCTGAATTTACTAATGTGACTTGTAAAGTTTACAATATAGCTCAACTTCACTGCCAAATTTTATGAACTTCCTGTAGTTTCCCCCTGAGAGAGTATAAAATGCATATGATTTTCCGTACACGGAAAATATACAGCTTGTAGTTTGAAAACGCTAAATGGAAGTGTAACGGCAGGTTGGGTTAAAAATTATTCTCGAAGTGGAATAAAGAAGTTTGGGGAGGACGTAATTTTCTCTCAAATGAGTAAATGAACGAATATTTTACGCCTGTTTTTCGCAAAATATATTTGAATTTATTAGGGCATCGAAAATAAGTAGGAAAAATTCATGCTACTCAAGTAGTCGTCTTTTACGGGTGTAATTTTTTCAGGCGGCAGGAATTAAGTTCGTTCAAAAGCCGGCATCTCGAAGTAACTGAAATATCTTGGGATTATGCTGTACGATAATTAGTATTACAACCCTGCCCAAGTAATATTTTTGAGTCGAAAGCTCATTCCAGAATTTCGGTTAAGATTTTATGAGTTAGCGCATCTACTGTTCATGTAAGTTAGCAATATGACGGCCTTCAGAGTCAGTAGTCAAGACGATGTCTGTGTTGGCCTCCAAAGACGGAATAACAGGTTATCATTTCATTCTTTACTTTCCGTATTCTCCTTGGGCGTCTGTAGACACACATGTGTCCATCGTTTAATTTACCACCGTAATGATGATACTTGCGCAGTATCAATAGTATATTAGCGGTAAATACACAAAATGTGCCCAGGTAAGTTGTAAATATGCACCTCTCCCAACAAATTTCCAATGTATCTTTGAAAAACTTCGGTCGAACACTTGAATTCTGGCTTCGACGAAGTCGCCTTTGACTAACAGACCTCGTCAACATCGTGCGCTTCGATCAGGTTTCCGTAGGACTGTGCCACATTAATGTATTTTAATCCGAACCTAGCTCAACTATCCGCATAGATCGACAGAAATGGAAATGCAGCTCCTCATATGGCGTGACAGAAGAAGAGAAAATCGCCGGGAGAGGTTTATTAAAGGCCTGACGTTTCGAGTGGCAATTTCGCCTAACCATCTTCAGAGACTTGGAAAGTCATGGCTCGCCTTGCATAATGCGTTGTCCGCTAATGCCGCCGCTGTGGCTGCATCTGACCGGCATTTCACCTGTCATCGCCGACCTCGTTGACCGCTGGGATAACTGGCGGCCCCGATTATCCCAACCCGTAGTTGTCCCCAATAAAGTTAACTTCGTAAAACCAGACAGAGGGGAGACAAATTAATGTGACGGTGGACTCAGCGGTCGGTTGGCATCCAGACTTCTTAAATCTGCCTTGGTGTATGATCGTCGCCTCGGCCCGCAATCTCAATGACGTCAGAAGTGGGCACGTGTCCCATCTGACTTTCCAGTCCCTGAACTCGCTACTCGAAACGTCAAACCAAGGAATCTCTCACGGTGTGCGCCTCTTTTTACTTCCATATGCCACCTGATTATCACGTTGCATAATCTCGAAATATTTCCTTCACGGCCGGATGTCAGCTTTCGAATTCACTCCTTTCCCGTCACAAGCGAAAAGCACACTTGGCATAAAAAAGGCTACTTCGGCAGTATGAGTCTTTTCCACTGCATTCCAGTGGTCATGTAAATTAAAATATATTTTGTGGATAAAGTGCACGTAAATGCTCTTTATATACTCAGTTGGTAGAAAATTACGTCCCTTTCAAAGTTTATACTTCTGTTGTCAAAATGGTTGGTGATTACGATATTTTCAAGAACTAAGGAGTATTCATCCAAATAGCATGTTGTTTGCTCGTTTACTGATGTTCCTTATATAGCGTGGTCCGCATTCACCACAAAATTTATGAGCCCCATACGGCGTCTTTTTAATAGCATGCCGTAATGTATTATAGCATGCAAAACTATAGTAAAACGACAAGTAAACTTCAAAATTATCCGAAAGACCGAAGGATACCCTGTTCTCGAGTATTAAATTCTAAGTAGACAATTTATTTCGAAAGGAAAATTTCAGTATATTTTTCTACGTGCGTTCCACAAAATATTGTAGGATTTACAAGGGTATCAAAAATAAATGGCAAAAACTGCGTGTTAATTTAAGTAGTCACTCCATATCGAACTTGTATTTTACATGCTGCCGTAACAAAGCGCCTTCAGAAGTCTGCGTCCTGTTGTGACTGAAATGTCTCGGGTTTATGCATCACAATATTTAATGCTACAAAATCACCTAGGTAATTCTTTCTAATCGGAAATGCAGTTCGTAGCCTCGGTTAACATTCCTGAGATACACCAATCACTGTAGTCGCCTCGCCAACAATTTTCCACTAAGTTCTCGGTTGATTTAAATTAGCCAAGGTAATCTAAGACCAAAGTAGCTTTTCAGTGAAATAATTTTTGGTAAAGAGCCTTGTTACTTCTTTGCATGCGCTCGGGGTAATTCCTTATCGGCAAGCCTAATGGCGCATGTAGACCAAGAGCCTACCACGGAAAGCCCAGTCAGTCGGTCAGCCGGTGTATTAAAGTAACTGACAGAAGCCCTTGAAGGTAACGGCTCTGCATAAAGAGCATTTAAGTAGCAAATGGTTTACAGGTAACTTTCAGTAAGCGCGTTCAGTAAGCTCCTTGAAATGACATATTTTCTTATCTGAAGTTTTCCGTTAACTTCGAAAAGTCACAAGCAGGTTCAAAAATGAGTAGACGGATGAGTAAGCCGTTTAAATGTGGACAATCAGGCCGCGGTATTCAAAATTCATTCGCAAGTTCGTAATTCATCTTTGCCGACGGTTGGATTGATGCGACAGAGTCTGGCCTACGAGACAGATTATGGTAGACGCGAACACGAAACACTCTGACTGACTGTGCTTGTGGAAGGGTAGCGGTGTTTCGGGCCCTGGCCTTCATGCGTCCAAAGAGTAGCGTTCAGATGTCTCATCAACTGACATTTTGTTGAAGACGACCTTTATAATTCTTCCATCTCGGATGGACCGGCAGCTCGTTCTTTCAATCGCAGCTCTTCCTAAGAAGGAGGACTTAAGCCCGCCAATAGATGACTGCTGTGCTTTGGGACTAGAGATAGAGCTGGATCAGATAAGTTTAACCAGGAGATCTCGGCGGGAAATCTGAAACGGATAGCACCGACCTTCCCATTTTGCACTGCTTGGTCACCCGTTCGGTCAGCCGATGACCCTCCAATACCCTTTACCGCAGATCGCTTACTATACTCCGAAACATGGTAACTCTATCAGAATTTCTATTAGAAGGCCTTCACCGATCTATCAAATATAAGTTATGCACCACGAAGAATTTTAAATAAGCCTAACAAGGCATTTAACCGTATAAGACTATAAATCGTAGGCTTCAGAGACGTCGCCCCTAGCCAACAACATCAGGTGTTCTGCCTGAACTGCAACTATACTACGGTAGCTAAACCTATTTATCTCAAAATTACAGTGCGTGACCTATCTCATGAAATGTTGGCTGAAAATCTGAAATGCGTTTTCAATTAGGAAGGATTACTTGGTTGCGGTTGTGATACTGATTATCATAAGGCATACTCTTATAACATTTTGGACTCGGCAGGATGTCGGCTTTTAAATGCACTTCTGCTCGATAAAAAAGGACTACTTATGTAGCATGCACTTTTCCCATTGATTTTCGATGGTCCTGGAAATTCAAATATATTTTATAGAAACCACAAATAAAAATGAGCTTTCTTTTAGTCAATCAATAGAGAATCACGTCTTCTTTATATTTTCTACTTAAGGAAGGAGTATAATTAGGTTTTAAAAAAGTTTCTAATTATGAGACTTTTTAAGACCGCGATATGTCCATTCACATAGCATCGTACCTGGCCGTTTACCACTGCTCCTCATGAAATGTACAACATGGTCCGCATCCATTGCAAAATTTTATAGACCCTGTATGATATCTCTTTAATGACATAGAAAAATATGGGATTTTCTTTACGCGGAACGCATGCACCTTGTAGAGTGTAATCACTAAGCTCTAATGCAACGAATGATCAGGCTCCAAATTTTTCGGCAATTGGAAAGCTTTTTTTAAAACCTAATTATACATCTTCTTGAAGTATAAGATATAAAGAAGACGTGATTCTCTATTGATTCACCATAAGAATGCATATTTTTGTTTATGGTTTCTATAAAATATATTTGAATTTCCAAGACCGTCGCAATACAATGGGAAAAATGCATGCTACTTAAGTAGTCCTTTTTTACCGAGCACGCTTTCTACAGGAGATTGAAAAGAAGTGCACTTAAAAGCTGACAGCCTGCCGAATCTAAAATGTTATAAGAGCATGCCTTATGATAATCAGTATTACAACCGCGACCAAGTAATCCTTCCTAATTGAAAACGCATTTCAGAATTTCAGCCAACATTTCATGAGATAGGTCACGCACTGTAGGTGTTTCGGGAGTTAAAGAGACAACTTGAAATTAATTGTTAGTGTGCAGGTTAGGGGGTGCTCAGAATCAGCAATAGGCGCTTAAAGCATAGGGTAGAATTCCGACGTCTTGCAGCAATCTCAGACGAGGACTCCATGCCAAAGGCAGCACGACATGCAAGAAACAGACAGGCTCGATCAGAAGCGGAATTAACAATCATTACTCCGCCAGATAGATGACGTTTCATGAACGGCCATTTAACGGTATTAAAAAATCTCACGATTAGAAACTTTTTTAAAAGTGAATTTTACTCTTCTTTTGAGTAAGAGATTGGAAGAAGACGTGATTTTCTACCGAATAAGTGAAAGAATGAATATTTTTATGCCTGTTTTCCATGACATATAATTGAATTTTCAAGGGCATAGAAAATCAATGAGAAAATTGCATGCTACTTAAGTAGTCATTTTTTGCAGAGTATAGATCTTGCATGAAGCCGAAAATATGTTCCTTCGAAAGCCCACACCCTGTGGTAACCGGATCATTATAGATTTATGCTGCATCATTATTAGTTTTACAACACTACTTAATTTATATTTTCGAAACGAGAACGCATTTCGAAATTTTGGTTGACATTTCATGAGGAGGTTAGACCCTAACTCTCAACTAGCAACACACGTTGGAGAAACGGGGCATACTTTTGACCTCCAGAGGGCTACCATCTTAGGCCGAGGCAACAAAAAAACAGAACGGCTAACTCTGGAGGCGTGATTCTCCGATGCCCACTCTATCAACAGACATCTGGACCTTCCTGCAGCTTACAAAGTCCTACGTCATCACAATCGTAGGGCTCAGGACCAAACAACCACACCCGACTTAAGAAGGCCGTACGAAAATAGCCTGACGCCGAGTTTACTCGGTGAGAAAGAACAAGAACCGCCAGAACGACCGCCCGAGAAAGGTTCAATCAGCTCCCCTCGACGGAGTGATGACTCACAAAGCACACAGGCAAAACGCCCGTCCACCATCTCCCGAGAGGCCAAGGCAGCGGGAGGAGAGAAAAAAATCGATCAGCATGAGGTCGGCCAACACAACATGCAACTTTAAATCCAATTTATGATCGATTAAGTGCAGTTTACGCTTTGACAATGAAGAGCCGACCCAGCTCTTTGAAACGTCAGCACTTAAATAAACCTCTTCCGGAGAGCCTGTCTTCGTTTTCAAATAATCATCCCGGATATCTCAACTTTGCCAATCTGAATCACTACTCCGCCCACCCTGTGTGAAGCTTCACTCTCCTTGGGGGCCAAAACCCCCCTGTTCGGAATAAACTTCCTGTAAGGAAGCACTACGTGTTCCCAAGTTCGTCAAGGCAAGCCCCCTCTCCCCCCCGAAGCTACTCCGAGGGCGACTTGGGACGCTTATGAGGGTCGCTTGTCCTCTTTTTCACTAACCATTAGACAAAGAAAACTCCAATGGCCCGTTTCCCATGTCCCCCCTAAAAACAAATCAAATCGGTTCTCTATCGAAGGTCGTTTCGAGCACCACCTCCAAAGACCTTGTCTCCGTTCATCCGACGAATTTCGTCGGTGGTACAAAAGAAGGCTCAGACCCCTCCATATTTAGTTTAGTACGTTATGACACTTTTGCACTTCTCAACGTCCTATATTTGGATAAAGACAGAGTCGTTTTAAATGAAATCACAGTGATTGCAAGCAACAAGGCAAATAATAAACAGCCAGATTATGTCTGCATATATAAGTTCGTTTATGTAGTAAAAAAGGAAGCATCATCCCCATCAGCAGTACTGCCGGCGTAGCAACGTTTTGTAGTTTGGACATGAGAGAAGACGGATCTAAGTGGAAGCAATACCAGATGAAATACG